AAGTGTTCAGTGTTTCATACTAAACTTTCCTAAAGTTATAAGTACACCATCTGGGTACTATTAGTGCACTGTATTTTGCTATAATTGTCACTGTGAAAGCAATTATGCACTCAAAATAACTAAGTATGGAAGAACGCGAATTTGGTCACAGCATAAGTGTCTTTAGCTATGCTGATGCCACTGTGAGTCTGTACTTAGGCCCAGCGATGCTTTTGAGCTAAATACTCATTTGAGCATGCTAACAAGCTCACAATGAGAATGTTAAAATGCTGATGTTTAGCAGGTTCCCCATGTTAGTTTAACATGTTAGCATAGTTGAGGCATTTCACTGAAAATCATTGTCAACCTCATGGTAACACTAGAGGGAAAAAGGCAGGGCGTCACCAAAGTATTAGGATTCAAGCTCTGAGGACCAGATGCCAAAATCAAATATATCTAATGTATCTAAATCATAGCAGTCCATCTAAAGATGTTGAGATATTTCAGTTTGGGCCCAAGTATTGGACTGACCAACATTGCCATTCCTAGAGCCACAGTGCTCCAAGTAAAGCTTTGCTATTGTAGCCATTGCTTTACTACAAGTCTCTTTTTTCCTCTTCAGGATTCTTTAGCTGCAGAAACATAAATGTTTCAGTGGGGATTGAAAAAGAGGGCTTAAAATGACTAAACTGGAACATGATCATCACATTTAAATCAGGCAAACATCATAAATTAAGGAGTGCTTTAACACATTGTTGTATTGTTCAATAAAAGGATCCTGATTCAGTTTGCATGATGGATTAAAACAATTCAACATGCTCTTTGTTCACAATCTGCTGACCGGTGCACAACGACTGGGTATTATTATTGGTATTGTGAAGCCAATATTTTGTATAGTTACATCTGCTGTTGAGAAACAAACCAAAACATGTTGAAAAAAAACCCCTCCAAACTCGCGTTTTGAAATCTCAGAAATGAAACTTTTATAATAAAAGCACTCTGAGGCACTCTGTACATTGGCTCGTTGAAAGTGTAGTGACAGTTGATACCTTTGCTTACAATGCATTATAACTTTGTATACATTTTGGCTTATCTTTTAAATGAAAACTTTGTTTTTCAAACACTTCTCCAGTAGTATTTCGGTTTAGCTATCTAGTATTTAGTATAGAAAGCATGGATTTTGCTCTGTAAGGCCTGAATTTACTGGTGAGGCTCCTTGAGGGTTTCTGGCTCTTAATGCAACCAGTTATCTGTCCTGGGAGTTGCCCAGTTGATAAACCCTAAAGACTGACTTGCTCTCACCCACCACCCTTTCCTGTTACAAGCAATCTAGGCTTCTTTGTCGGCTCTCACTCCAGTTTAACAGAACAGAGGAGAGTTACACCAGACACCGTGTTAGTAAACAGTCAGGTACACGAGCCTCCAGTGGTCATTCATGATTGTTGTGCCTCCATGTTAATCCATGTGTGGGAGCGGGATACGTAGTTTTCCGTGTGTGTGTTTGTGTGTCTGACCATGTGTGTTTTACATGCTATTTTAGTATGATCCTAATGGCTTTACAGAGTGCCAGGCATTTTAACAGAGCCAGGGAGAGGCTTGTAAAACACACACACACACACACACACACACACACCACAAGACAGAGAAGAGAGGCTGGCACACTGTAACATGGCAGTCTGGTGGGAGTCTGTGTGTGAGAGTGTGTGAGCGTGCGTGTGGATTAAGAGGGTCAGCCAGGGTGATGCTGACACATGATGAAGGAAAACAAGAAACACGGGCCAGAATGAAAGACAGGCAGTGTGTGTCTGCGATATTGTGTAGGCAGGGTCGGGGTCTAAAGCAGACGCATGGCGCCGAGTGGCACTGCCTGAGTATGGGTGGGACAGAAAGGGAAGGAGAGGCAAAAATATTCAAACTGTGATGTTGTTAAGGGAAACATGTCACCAAAAACAGAAAGAAAACAAAAAACAAAACAACCACTTGCATTTTTAAAAACTCACAACTACACTGACATGGAGCAGGTGAGAGTACAAGGCAATGGTGATGGAAGCACTTTGAGGGGAAAAAATGGAAAGAAAACACAAAATCCTGAAGAAAGAAGGAAGCTGAGAAAGTGATGGCAGAAATGTAAGAGAATGAAGAGGATATAAGAATGCAACGAAAAAAAAATGTGGGTTTTCACACAAAAACCAAAACCTCAGAATAGAAGATGTGTCCTCGTTGCTCTGCAAGTATTGTAATTAACTGCTTTTTTTCCACCCAACTTTGACCAAACATTTCAATGAGCATTCTCTAAAATAACTCTTTTTCAGTTTCATCTCTAATTTTGTATTTTAGGATAATCTTACACATGCTAAAAAAAAGAAGTATTTTTGCCATTCTTCAGCCAATGACTGACAATGAAAGACTTTGCATTGAAAGAGCATCCAGTGTTTTTGGGTGTCTTAATTCATTTACTAGCAATCATTTTTGTTACTGTTTGCAATTTCCAAATCATACAATGGTGTTTTAAATTGTTTAACACATTTCCCCACCTTCCACTGGTTTCATTCACCTCCATCCAGTCACAAAATCAAGGTCCACAGACTGAAAACATACTTGACAGGATTGATCACAGCTAACATGTTTTTATGTTATGCTATGCTATGTACACAACACTATGCTAGTTATGCTGCATTACGCTGCATGGTAACGCAGTGCAGGCTTTTCAAAATGAATTTGCAGTAACAACTACAGTAGAAACAGTTGAATCAAATTTTTTATGCTTTTGTTACTTTATGCTCTTGCGATCATGTGACTTTGACATGGGAGAGCACATGTCACGTCCCTGTGTCATCACAAAAGTCAACATTGGTTTCTTTTAACCATGACCACAATAGTTGTCTCTTGTCTTTTTTTCTCCTCCATACGCCCCCTCCCTGTTTTCCTGCAGGTATCTGTGTTTTCGGCAATTAGTGTATATTCTTGTCCTGTTGTCACCCCCCCAACCCTGTTCTCTTATAGGTGCTGTCCTTTCTGTGTGGTGTCTGTCTGTGTGACGTTTGTGCCCCCCACCCCCATTTCCGCCGCTGTGTCCGGCCTGGTGACAAATATATACACAGACATAATTAAATAAATAATAAAGACGACAAAGGACTAAATTAAAACTCCTTTGTCAAAACAAAATCTGTCTGGCACAACATGATATGCAGCTCCTCATACTGCATACCAGGTTACTGGGCAGGACAGGGTTCAAAAACAACAAAAAATGTGACCACAATAATTCCCAAACCTTAAAGGGCTAAACTTAACCAGCATACGTACAGTTATTTTGGAAGACACCATCAAATGACCTATGTTGTCCTTTCGGCAGGTATAGTGCAACTGCATTATACTATGCAATGCTAACTTAACTTCCAAACAGGCTGATACTTTTCTGGGATGGACTAATTTAGAGCCACAATCCGATTCATCACTTCCAAACAATGTATCATGTCTTGAACATGTTTAGCAGTAATGTAAAGTATAAGTGATTTGTGGTAAATTGGTCTAAACGGTCTTTTAAGATCTTTTTATCCCACAGTTGTAAATTTATCTTGGATGTGGCCATGTGCGCAGTTTGATTTAAATGATTTCAGTATTTTTATATATTTTTAGAAATATAAGGTGGGAATACAATACTGCGTGGAAGTTAGTTGGTTGTCTAAAAGCATTCAGTTTTGTTAGATAAGCTTTCACAGCAGCCCACATAATCAGTTTTTATTCAGAGTACTTTTTTTAAATGTGGATCCTGGCCGCTGGACCACAGATTACTGGCTGCCTTTTTCTGTGTGAAAACAGGCTGATGATGAAAAATACGCATAGTAACTGTCTGTCCATGAAAGTAACCCAGACCATTTCTCAGTGCCTTTAATGTACACTGTGATTAAATGACAAGTTAATTCTGTATATTCAAAGTTTATTTAAAGTGACACCAAACCCTGCTGTGCCATATCTGAAGCACTCATGCTAAACAGAGACATTTCCCAGAATTAAGACATACAATAGGGCTTTCATGAGGACTGTAGGAAACTAGTCCTGCTGTACCCTAACCACACACTCTGTCACATTGCTCTGTGAATGTGTGTGTGTGTGTATCTAGAGTTACCATTTTTCAATGTATACCACATGTAGTGACCATGTATTGTATAATACGTTTTCAATATGGAGAAAAAGACAGAGAGAGAGAGAGTGAGACAGGGGAAGCCATAGACAGCCACAAAATTTTAAAATTTAATAATGTACTGTTTATATTCAATATCTGAAAACACAAGTGGTTACCATGACGAAGGAGCAACATCAACGCAAGCAGGTTAGCCAACGTTTCTTCAACTTTCCCTATGCCTCACCTTTTCTTTCTTTATCCTCATTTCCCTTTTCTTTGCTCTCCTCCCACTCTCAGATGACAACTCTTTTGACAGTTAAACAAATATACTCTTCTCTCCTCTCTTTGCTCCATATATGAACCAACCCTCCTTCTGCTGCCAAAAGCTCAAAGCCGAGTTTACTCCCTGTAAAATAAAACGTCTGAAACAGTATTTGTTCCACAGCCAGGAGCTTGTCGTCAGGTGATCCGCTGGAGTAAATCTTTTCAATAATGTCAAAGACAGTGCCAAAAACCTGCCAGGCCGACCAGTGTGTGCCCAACTCCTACACACATCCACACAGTTACAGACACACACACACACACACACACACAGCCATCACACAAACTCACAGATGTCATCACATATGTACAAGCAAACATACAGAAACACACACACACACACACACACTCAGTAACTGATTTTAGGAACTGATAAATTGGGAGTGACAAAATGTCCTCAGTTTTCCTCACTTCCATGTTTTAAAAAAATAGAGCACATGCACTGTCTCTCTCTCTCTCTCTCTCTCTCTCTCTCTCTCTCTCTCTCTCTCACACACACACACAGACTAATGTCTTCACTTTGCATGATTTTCTCCCCTCATCTTTCACACACACAAATGTGCACAAACTGTCTCACCTGTTCCTGCGTCATGCTGTGCAGCTGCGTATGCCAGGAGGCGGAGTCAGAGCGGTGATAGGCGGGGGGCGGGGCGAAGTCCTGCAATATGATTGGGTCTCGCTCCTGACACAGCGAGGTCAGGTGACTGATGTACAGCTTCAGTTTGCTGCGATTCTGGTTGAGATCCAGGAGAGGAGAGAGAATCTGCAGCAGGAAGGGAGTGATAGGGGACAAAAATGAGAGGGATTCATTTTATAGCTCACAAAATCTAACAACAAAAAACGCTGTCCATGATAGCAGTTTAAACAATTTTACCAGAATAGAAACATAAGTCTTAACAGAGAGAGACAGAGAGGGAACAAGGTGGTCTGACAGCAGTGAATGCTGTTCACTGCTCCCTGTTGATCAGTAACTCAGTAGTTTACTCTTTAGTGAGTGGTAAGTTGAGATATTGGGACACTTACGAATCATCATTTAGCATCATCACTGGCACATTGCATTGTGGGCTTGTTTACAGAAATTAGTGCACATGCCACAGACACTACATTTTTTAATTCAATGACTTTAAAACATGAATTTGGATACAGTAGTGCACTATGTAGGTAATAAGCAATTATTTTAAACACTGGAGTCTTTTCAAGTCTCTTAGCCAGGTCTGCAGTGCACAGTTAAGCACATTGTATGAACTGCATGCAACACCAAACAAGTTAATGGAAAATTAAAATGAGAGCATGGCTGATTCAAACATGTAGGGCGAGATGAAAACAGACAGGTTGCGATGTAAAATAAGTCACAAGGTTGGTACATTTACATGCACACCAAAAACAGATATCACCACTAGCATATGTCTTCTGTTTTATTTGGGGAACCTATTGACTGATGTGAAAGCTGCTGCTTTAAAATACATTTTAAAATAAACTTTGAAGGCCCAGTTAATTGTATATTTGGTTGTGTTAACTAAGTTTCTAAAAAAAAAAAAAAAAAAGTTATTTGGTTTAAATGATTATGTTAAGTATAATCAGTTTTTCTTAGTAAATGCAGTAACTGTTTTTTTTTAAATTATTTTTTGAGACCACGGAAATGCAGGAATGAGATAATAACATGCAGCAAAGGGCAAAGTTAACCAGGTGGGCGACCAGGGCATCCCTGCAGTGTCTTGTGTCTGATTTTAATATAATTTAATAAAACAATGAACGCGAGAGACATTAATCAGTCTAGAAAAAGCCAAAATTTAAAAACACTGTATGTGCTATGAAATATGTTACTTTGTGCATGTCTGTGTGTGGTGGTGTCCTACACCAAACCCATCTCATGACATACATACATTTCTTTCTGAATTTAGCCTTTTATACAACAGAGGCAAAGACCAAAAACTGCTAAATTCCTTTGGAATCATCTTATTTTCAGCACTGATCATAGCTGAAGGTGTCTAACTGCAATACATCACACAAATGAATTTCTCTAGTTTGTTTATGGAAAATTGATCCAGACCGCAACAGTAACAGCTTTGATAAAACTGAGAGAGGTATAAATCTCATTCCCTTGTTTAACAGCAACATTTGTTTCACTTTGGCCTGTGTGAGAGTGTGGGAATGAGGAACTAAACACATTTTGGGGGTACAAGACGAGACCCCCCAAAGAGACACACACAAACCACACACACACACACACACACACACACACACACACACACACACACACACACACACAGATAAGACATACAGACACACACATTATTCTCCTCTGGGAATAGAAGGATTTAAGTGCAGAGGAAGCATGTTAAGAGGGCTGTTAGAGTGTGTGTGTGTGTGTGTTGATAAGTACATTCAATCCCACTGGTGTCTGTCCACACCCTCAGCTCCATCATCACTCACACACAACGGCAGGATCCATTCACGCAGCGCAGTAAAATCACTTTTCTCTCTATCTGTACTTGATCTCAGCTCCTGAACCCGAATCTCTCTTTACAGTTTAGATAGAAGAATTCTCTGTGAAGTTTGGAGGTTTCCAATCAGTATGAATTATGTAAATTTTATATAAAATACCTATTTCTATTGCTGTTTGTTAAAACTGCATTTCAGGAAACCTCAAGGATAGTTTTGGTCAAACACTGCTCCAAATGAGCCATGTCATGTCAGCTGACTGGTTAAACTAACCAAGCATGAGTTAAACTGACGACAAACAGATTTTAAAGACAGCTTCTCCCTTTTCACTTTGGAGGCCATTTAGTACAGGTGAAATAATAAAATATAACACTGTAAGAAATACAGAAATATATAATCTAATGGACTCAACATTGTGGAGCTCTTCACTTCCATCTCAGGGACATCTTGTCATACATTTTTGCTCAAGTGCTGTATTTACTGTGCAAAATGAAGTGATTGATGCTGTCTCACTGCTTGCATGTTGAAAATGACTGATGTGATCCCAGACACATGGCTTTAACATATTTTATGAATCTGAAAGCCAGTCTTAGCTGTCAAAACAGTGAAAGAACAAAAAGCAGATAGGCAGTTGATAGGACATTGATAATGTCTGAATAAAACATAACATATAAAACTCTATGTGTGTATCCAACATCCATTATTCAATAACTGCATGTGTCTGAGAATCCTGAAAGAACTAGATGTGGGTGTTTTTTGTTGGGAAAAAAATGTTATTGCTAGCTCTTCTCCAGCAGCATCGCCACAACAATGAGAGCTGACAGTAAATCAAAGTAACTGTCACTTCTGATTCTGATTCCTTACCTTATTTAGACCCCCCCACCCCACACACACACACACACAATGCTTTGTGTTGTTCCAGACCATCTCCATTGGTGTATTCAAGATAGCTAAACCTTCTTGGTTCACAACTGCTAGTTTTTCTCACACGCACACACACGCACACACGCACACACGCACACACACACACACACACACACACACACACACACACACACACACACACAGTGTTATACACATTATGTGTGAGTCCACATACTTGTATATACAGTACATGCAGAGACACAAACACATTGTGACACAGAAAAACACACATACACTCATACAGGGTCGTTATCGAAGTTGTAAATAGCGCTAGTTACAGTATTTTCCAGTGAGGACCTGCCAGTAGGTTACAGTCCATTACGAAATACATTACTGAACATTTCCCTCCGTAGGAGAGAGGGAGAAAAAAAAGAGAGGCACAGAGAAAATGATGGAGTTAAAGGCTGCAGGGATCTTACGCATTCTGCATTTCAAAATCTCTGTTGCTGTATGTTGTATGTGTGCCGACAATGGCAACGCAACAATGATGTTATTGCTCAAAGAGTGTTGTGTTATATGACAATATGTGAACACATCTCTTAAGATCTGGCTTCACTGCTTTAAAAACATACTCAACATATGTGCAACAGCTGTTCTCTTATACTTTCTAAACCAGACTATTCTGTCAGAAAGCTTAAAAAAATGACTGTCCACACTTTCCAGATCTGCAGTCGAGCTGTGTGGATCAAACGCAAGACAAATGAGAAACAGACAGAAAGAATGGAAAGAATGATGGTGATATAAGGAAAACATTTAGTGAGAAATAACAACACCGATGCACTCTTTTCCTTTTTGAGAAACAGTTAATGACTACCAAAAACAAATATCTAAAATATGCCTGTAATAATAATGAAAACATTTAACACAACCCTAACCTCTGAAAGTCTTTGCAGCACCTAAAGTTTTAAATTTACTGATTTTATAAAGGTATACAGTACATATGATTGCCTGTATGTTTTTATTATATTACACGACCTGAACAAGTTAATGTATGCAGTGTGTGTGTTTAATGAGTCCACAGTGTTTTCCAATGTATGAAACAATCCCAGAGGAGACATAATTTTATACGGCACTGTGTGTGTCAGAGTGTGTGTGTTTTTTGACTCTTTCTTAGCCTCCCATGTCTGCCTACCAGACTCCTACTGCAATAGGGAACTACTCTAAAGAGAGACATTCAGCTAGCCTCACTCACTGGTCGCATTTTTAAAAAACCTTCTACGGCCATATAAAATGATGAAATGAGGATTTTTCTTTCTCCACAGATCCCACAGAGACACACAAACATACACACAAGCACACAAGCACAAACAGATTTATTTGACCACGAGGAGCATCTATAGAGGAGGTAAGACTTCAATGCAAGCAGGAATCATGGCTGCTGCTGACGCTTTACACTTTAAAAGAGGATAATCGCAAATAAAACCTCTTTAATATAAAACAAAGCTTCATTCCCACTGCAGAGGAACAAACATTTGATAGGTCAAGCTTCTTAACGTGAGTATTTGCTGCTTTTCTGTTTTATTTCTTTTATAATTAATGTAGTGTTTATGGGTAAAATCATTAATTAAAGAAAACAATCAACAGATTAACTGATAGTAAATATAATCATTAGTTGTTCTTGTTCTAAACCACCAAGATTAAGTCAAAGTAAGAATTCAAATAAAAACTAAATTTTGGTACATGACTTGCCGAGTTGTTGACGTCATACACATAGAAAGATGGCAGACAATATGGTTGATGGTTAGAAACTTTTGATTAATAGGGCAGATTTATTTACTAACGTGTCATTTGTAATATGGTTAGTTTGCTGTCTGTGGAGAGTGACCTAGGTGTCTACATATTGGTTATACCCTCTGATAATGCTAATCCAACACATCTATGAAGTAGCGTTCATGTTGTCTCCACATTCCAACTTAAAAGCACATGAACACACAGAAGTCGGAAGAACAACTTCACGACTCGGGAAATGGAAAAATCTGGGGAGCATGTGAATACACAGTTAGTTTATCACACAAGAGAGAATGTTATTTCAGTCTCCTAATTGTATTCTGTCAAGTAAGTTAATCTCACTAAAAGAAATCAATAACTTATCTAACATCAGCAGTAATGACATCATTAGATACTTTTGTTATCTTTTGTGTAGCTTCTGCACATAGTTGTATTGTATTTTTTTTTCTCTATTCTTTTATTATTCTTATATATCCATCCATCCATCCATCCATCGTCAGCCGCTTAACCTGAATATAGGGTACCCTGGACAGGTCGCCAGTCCATCGCAGGGCCACACTTAGGCCCCATCCACACTACTCCGTTTTAGTTTACAAACGCAGAATTAAAACGAATACGGTTTTGGAGTTGATCTCCGTCTACATTAAAACAACTGAAAACGCACATCTA